TCACTTTCTTTTCTTTCTTTCTTTCTTTCTTTGATGCAATTTCAAACTTTCTTTCTGCCTCTTCTTTTCCTTTCTTTTCTTTCTTTCTTTTTTCTTTCTTTCTTTAAAAAAAAATGCAATTTCTTTGTCTTTCTCGCCTCTCTTTTTTTTTTCTTTCTTTCTTTCTTTTTCTTTCTTTCTTTCTTTCTTTTCTTGCAATTTTTTTGTCTTGTCTCGCCTCTCTCGTCTTTTCACCTTTCTTTCTTTCTTTCTTTCTTTCTTTCTTTCTTTCTTTCCTGCAATTTCTAACTTTGTCTTGTCTCGCCTCTCTCGTCTTTTTTTTTCTTTCTTTCTTTCTTTCTTTCTTTCTTTCTTTCTTTCATGCAATTTCTAACTTTGTCTTGTCTAGCCTCTCTCATTTTTTCACCTTTCTTTCTTTCTTTCTTTCTTTCTTTCTTTCTTTCTTTCTTTCATGCAATTTCAGTTTTGTCTTGTCTAGGCCTCTCTTTGTTTTTCACCTTTCTTTCTTTCTTTCTTTCTTTCTTTTCTTTCTTTCTTTCATGCAATTTCTAACTTTGTCTTGTCTCGCCTCTCGTCTTTTCACCTTTCTTTCTTTCTTTCTTTCTTTCTTTCTTTCTTTCTTTTCAATTTTCTTTGTCTTTCATGCACCTTTCTTTCTTTCTTTCTTTCTTTCTTTCTTTCTTTTGCAATTTCTAACTTGTCTTGTCTCGCCCTCTCGTCTTTTCACCTTTCTTTCTTTCTTTCTTTTCTTTCTTTCTTTCTTTCATGCAATTTCTAACTTTGTCTTGTCTCGCCTCTCTCGTCTTTTCACCTTTCCTTTCTTTCTTTCTTTCTTTCTTTCTTTCTTTCTTTCATAACAATTTCTAACTTTAAAAATCTAGCCTCTCTCATCTTTCACCTTTCTTTCTTTTTCTTTCTTTCTTTCTTTCTTTCTTTCATGCAATTTTCTTTTTTGTCACATTTCTTTCTTTTCACCTTTCTTTCTTTCTTTTTTCTTTCTTTCTTTCTTTCATGCAATTTCTAACTTTGTCTTGTCTACGCCCTCGTCTTTCACCTTTCTTTTTTTTTCTTTCTTTCTTTCTTTCTTTCATGCAATTTCTTTGTCTTGTCTTTCCTCTTCTTTTTCACCTTTCTTTCTTTCTTTCCGTTTCTTTCTTTTCTTTCGCCTTTCATCAATTTCGCCTTTGTCTTGTCTCGCCTCTCTTCTTTTCACCTTTCTTTCTTTCTTTCTTTCTTTCTTTCTTTCTTTCATGCAATTTTCTAACTTTGTCTTCATCTCTCGCTCACCTTTCACATACACCTTTCTTTCTTTCTTTCTTTCTTTCTTTTCTTTCTTTCTTTCATACAATTTTCTTTGTCTTGTCTGGAGCCTCTCGTCTTTTCATTTTTCTTTTTCTTTCTTTCTTTCTTTCTTTCTTTCTTTTCATGCAATTTCTTTTTGTCTTGAAACCGCCTCTCTCGTCTTTTCACCTTTCTTTCTTTCTTTCTTTCTTTCTTTTCTTTCTTTCATGCAATTTCTTTGTCTTGTCTCGCCTCTCGTCTTTACGAAAATTTTCTTTCTTTCTTTCTTTTCTTTCTTTCTTTCTTTCTTTCTTTCATGCAATTTCTGAAACTTTGTCTTTGCCTCTCGAGTCTTTTCACCTTTCTTTTTTTCTTTCTTTCTTTCTTTCTTTCTTTCATGCAATTTCTAACTTTGTCTTGTCTCCTCTCTCATCTTTTCACCTTTCTTTCTTTCTTTCTTTCTTTCTTTCTTTCTTTCTTTCTTTCATGCAATTTCTTTGTCTTGTCTCAGTCCTCTCTCATCTTTTTTCACCTTTCTTTCTTTCTTTCTTTTTCTTTCTTTCTTTCTTTCTTTCTTTCTTTCATGCAATTTCTAACTTTGTCTTGTCGCCCTCTCATCTTTTCCTTTCTTTTCTTTTTTCTTTCTTTCTTTCTTTCTTTCTTTCATGCAATTTCTAACTTTGTCTTGTCTCCTCCTCTCTCATCTTTTCACCTTTCTTTCTTTCTTTCTTTCTTTCTTTCTTTCTTTCTTTCTTTCAGCAATTTTCTAACTTTGTCTTTCTCGCCTCTCTCATCTTTCACCTTTCTTTTTTCTTTCTTTACATGCAATTTCTCTCTCTCTCTCTTTTCACCTTTCTTTCTTTCTTTCTTTCTTTCTTTCTTTCTTTCTTTCTTTCATGCAATTTCTAACTTTGTCTTGTCAAGAAGCCTCTCTCATCTTTTCACCTTTCTTTCTTTCTTTCTTTCTTTCTTTCTTTCTTTCTTTCTTTCATGCAATTTCTAACTTTGTCTTGTCTCGCCTCTCTCATCTTTTCACCTTTCTTTCTTTCTTTCTTTCTTTCTTTCTTTCTTTTTGCAATTTCTAACTTTTCTTTCATCCTCTCATCTTTTCACCTTTTTTCTTTCTTTTTTCTTTCTTTCTTTCTTTCTTTCTTTCTTTTCATGCAATTTCTAACTTTGTCTTGTCTGCCTCTCTTTTCTTTTTCCTTTCTTTCTTTCTTTCTTTCTTTCTTTCTTTCTTTCTTTGCAATTTCTAACTTTGTCTTGTCTCGCCTCTCTCATCTTTTCACCTTAATTTTCTTTCTTTCTTTCTTTCTTTCTTTCTTTTCTTTCATGCAATTTCTTTTGTCTTGTCTCGCCTCTCTCATCTTTTCACCTTTTCTTTCTTTCTTTCTTTCTTTCTTTCTTTCTTTCTTTCATGCAATTTCTAACTTTGTCTTGTCTCGCCTCTCTCATCTTTTCACCTTTCTTTCTTTCTTTCTTTCTTTCTTTCTTTCTTTCTTTCATGCAATTTCTAACTTTGTCTTGTCTACGCCTCTCTCATCTTTTTTTCTTTCCTTTCTTTCTTTCTTTCTTTCTTTTTTCTTTTTTTCTTTTTCTTGCAATTTCTCATCTTTTCACCTTTCTTGTCTTTTCTTTCTTTCTTTCTTTCTTTTCAACCTTTCTTTTTTCTTTCTTTCTTTCTTTTTTTCTTTCTTTCATGCAATTTCTTTCTTTTCTTTCTTTCTTTCTCTCAATTTTTAACTTTTCTTTCTTTCTTTCTTTCTTTCTTTCTTTCTTTCTTTCTTTCTTTCTTTCTTTTTGCAATTTCTAACTTTGTCTCGCCTCTCTCATCTTTTCACCTTTTCTTTCTTTCTTTCTTTCTTTCTTTCTTTCTTTCATGCAATTTTCTTTTTGTCTTGTCTGCGCCTCTCTCATCTTTTCACCTTTCTTTCTTTCTTTCTTTCTTTCTTTCTTTCTTTCTTTCATGCAATTTCTAACTTTGTCTTGTGCCTCTCTCATCTTTTTCACCTTTCTTTCTTTCTTTCTTTCTTTCTTTCTTTCTTTCTTTCATGCAATTTCTTTGTCTTTCTTTCGCCTCTCTCGTCTTTTCACCTTTCTTTCTTTCTTTCTTTCTTTCTTTCTTTCTTTCATGCAATTTCTAACTTTGTCTTGTCTCGCCTCTCTCGTCTTTTCACCTTTCTTTCTTTCTTTCTTTCTTTCTTTTTTTTTTCTTTCATGCAATTTTTTTCTTGTCTTTTTTCTTTCTTTTCACCTTTCTTTCTTTCTTTCTTTCTTTCTTTCTTTCTTTTCTTTTCTTTCTTTGCAATTTTCTTTGTCTTGTCTCGCCCTTTCTTTTCACCTTTCTTTCTTTCTTTTCTTTCTTTCTTTCTTTCTTTCTTTTCAATTTCTAACCTTTTCTTTCGCCTCTCTCGTCTTTTTCACTTTTCTTTTCTTTCTTTCTTTCTTTCTTTCTTTCTTTTCTTTCCTGTCCTACATCTACATATTTTCATTGTCTGTCATTCTTTTTTGCATTCAATATCACTTTATTCTTATCCTCCCTGTCATTTTAGTTTTATTGTAACAAAATTTGTAAATGTTATTTTGTCATTATCTTCTCTTCTTCTTCTTCTCATTTTTTCCCACCTTCATTCAGTTTTGACCTTATTATTATTATTATTCTATTCTTTCTTCACCTCTCATTTTTCCAGGTTCTCTGTTTTATTTCATTACATGAAACCCTCCTGAAAAGGATATTATTACATATTATATAAGAATTGGAATATTAACTCACAAATTTATTTGAAAGCAGAGAAAGAGAGACAGATAGTGACATCAAGAAAGTAGGAAAAAAAAGAACATACAAAAAAGAAAAAAGATTGACAAATATAAATGGGAGATATCTCCCTGTTGTATTGTTTTCAAAAGTTGAGATATGCTATTCTGTAATATGAAATCAGACGTGTAAAACTCCTCAAAGCTATATCAAACCTGTAAAGAGGGCATCATCTTTTCAACGGCCATTTTACCAGTTGGCATGAAAAGAATAGTCATCAATGTTGATGACTACTTTTCCACCAGAAAATAAAAATAAACAGAAAATCACTTTGCAAGGGTTTCTTTTTTTGTATGCACTGATTTTTAAGTCCAATTATAAGCACGTTCACTAAACAAGAGACTGTCAAATGAATGCTCCCTTAGAAGCAGCCATATTTGAAAAGGCTCCATCGAAAATATCCGAGTGTCAGTTAGAAGCAAAGATAAAGCTGTATGCTTTGTTGTTTCTTTCTTTGTAATTTATTTTATTTGTGTTATTTTATTTATATTTTTTTTTTATTTATATATTTATTTATTTATACTTTTTGCTGTTGTTTAGTTAGAATTAATCTACTTCTTAATGTTACTCCCCTGGTGCAGAAAGATGGTGACAAACTTGAATATTGTTACATGCTCGTTTCTTCATTGGCTCCAATGTGGGAAAACTCTAGGTATATATACTCTTTTCAAATTGGCACTTTTATTTAAAATTTTTCTAGGCTCTTGTTTTGTTTGCCGCCACAGTAGGTAGCTAGGTAGGAAAGAAGGGAGAGGAGTGAGTTAGCTGGGCAAAGGATGGAGTGGGAAGAGAAATGGAAAGGGTGGGAGAAACAGGAATATGGTTACCCATTTCTGGAGTTCATCATTATATTCAAAGTCGTTGCAGTCGTTGCTCTCCAAGGAACGCTATCTATGCATTCTTATTTTCAAGTTCTTTGTCAGTTGGATACATATAAAACTTTGCTATCAATAAGAGTTCTTTTTTATATTCTTCTCTCTTTTTCTCCCCCCACTCTCTATATCTATCTATCTATCTATCTATCTATCTATCTATCTATCTCTTTTAGGAAGCTTTTTTCTCTATGGACCACTTTTGACTCTAACTTCCAGAGCTGTCAAAACGTTTCCTTGGAGGAACTTGCTAACAAGAAATGTCTTACACAGAAAAATAAATTTATTCTATTTACTTCTTTATTTACTGACTTTGGGGTAGTGTTAATTCTATTTTTTATTTCTTTTTTTATAGTAGTTCTCTATTTTGTGCTTAAAAAAAATATTATTATTAATAATAATAATAAGGATAATAGCAACAACATCATAACCAATTTTATTTTATGCTGTTCACTTCCTGGTTTTTCCATTTCATTCTGTGGATCAAATTTTTAAAACTGATTCACTAAACCTTTTCCAGTAAAGTTAACATTAAAAAATAATTAATTTATTTTCGTTTTTTTTTTTTTTAAGTGTGTTTGTTTAATTTGCACAAGAATTTTGAAAATTAACCTTTTGTGCTCACATCTGAAGCAAAGTGAAAAATTGTTTGGTGTTATATGAATGAGGAATTTTCCCCCTTAATACAAGATAAAGGGGTTTTGTTTACTTAATTATTTTATTTATTTATCTTTTCTTTTTTTCTTTTTTTTCTTTTTTGTAATAACTTATCTTGCATCTCTGGCAACCATAATTTATTTTGTTATTTATTTTCAAATTCCTGATTTGTTTTTTTAAGGCATTTCTTCACTTTCTTTTAATTCTTTGAAATCTTGGAAGATGGATATTGTATGTGTACGTATTTATGTATATGTGGTGTTTTTCAAGAAAAACATGGTGGTCCTATATGATTAGAAAAGAACAACCATCTGAGTATAAGTAGTTAATTAGCGAGATCGAAAATGTATATTCTTTGGCTTAACCTAACAGATTTAAAAACGAAAACAAATCAAAAGAAATCAGAGAATATGTTTTTTTTTTTATGTTTTTTTTTTCTTTTTTGTTGTTTTTTTTTTTCCACAAAAAGACTTAAAACAGAATTTTGGAATGACCTTTAAGTAAATGTTAAATGCATTTCTCATAATGACTTCTTGAAGGCATGTTGGTTAAAGACCTCCCCACAAAAAAAAATTTTAAAATTGCATTCCTGCTGCGATCAACTAAAAAGAATGAAATTCCTCACAGATTATTCTCAATGCCAAAAATTAAAATATTGCTTACATTTTTCCATCTTACTTTTTCTCTCTGTTAAAACCTAGCAAGGTGACCTAGCATTGTCCAGGTCCTAACAGCACTGTATAAATACAAAATGAATAGTAAGGCTGTGATTTTTGTATATACATTTTTTTTATATTTTCTTTTGAATTGCATGTTATTTAAAGCCAGAAAATATTTATGAATTGTAAGAATTTTTCTTTAGATAATAATGATTTAATGACAGAAGTCTTACTAATTAACCCATAGCTGGAGGGAGAAGAGGTGGATTCATACCATTTCAAATGATATTTGCACATAGGTGAATATAATGAACCCAGCTGAAATTGGAACTCAGTTCTCTGATTAATAACTCCAAGCCATTATACTATACACCACATGCACATCCAAGCTTACATCACCTGGTATTCCCAAGCAGTCACCCATCTAGGTACTAACCAGGCTCAACGTTACTTAACTTTGGTGAATAGTACAGGAATCGGTGTTTCAACATGATATGGCTGTAAGCTATATTTTCTTTTGAATGGTTTCAGATTCGGAATATTTTTTTTTTCTAACAATGTTAATAGACTTTTCGTTGCGATAGAAAACAAATGTAGAGAAAATTACAAGGATTATTTTTTTTCATGTTGAATTTGAATTTATTTTCAGATGTTCTTTATTTATGATTTTAAGTTTTTTTTTCTTTCTTTCTTTTTGACAGAGAAATCAAATCTTTTCAGCAATTTTACTGTTTTTTGTTCTCTGTTTTTTCCCCTTCTCTCTCTCTCTCTCTCTCTCTCTCTATATATATATATATATATATATATATATATATATATATACAGATAGAAATTATTAGGAGGATTTGATAATTATATTTAATTAATTCATCGAGTGATAGAAACCTCAACAGAATGCAGAAAGCACTGGATGGCCGTTTCGTTCTATATTTGGGACTCATCAGCAGTGCGCATCTACTACCGAGAATTGAAACCCTGACAGTTAGGATGTCAAGCAAACATCATACCAACTGTTCCAATGGGCCTCGGTGACGAAAAGATTTCTGATTTGGAATCTCTTCGTCTCATTTTCTCTCACCTTTAACTTCTATCCTTCTTGCCTTATGTCTTTCTTGACTCTATCTCTTTTTATGTTATCACTATCATTTTTCTACTCACTTTATAGTATTTCTTGTTACTTCTACTTGCCTTATTTTTATATGCTAGGTTTGTACACTATTTACATTATCCGGACTATTGTCCTCATCTCAGAAAATATAGACAGATAATGCTAGGTTTGATTGATAATTAAGGTCTCCAATCCTATAAAACAAGTTTTAGACTAAGTATGTTTGAACATACATATGGGCGTGTGAGCGAGTATTTAGAATATTTGCTTTCTGGCCACAATACCCAGTTTCAAATGTCATGGTTGAATTGTCAGAGAAGTGACTTCTTAATCTTGTTGGCCTGGGGAGTTGGTACCAGCATGTGATACCAATTATCTGAAAACTATACCAACCCAAGCCTTGTGAATGAAATTGGGTAGACAAAACTGTTTGGAAGCTGTTGTCAGTAGTGCTAGCATGAAGTCACAAGTCATTGTGACCGAGGGTTTAAGTGTTTGTTTAAACTCGGGGTTCTTGATCGGCTCCAGAAGCGGATATGCAATATGGTTGGCCCTGCCCTGGCGTCTAGTCTACAGTCACTTTCTCACAGACGCACCGTCGCCTCCCTCTGTCTGTTCTACAAATACTTTCATGGAAATTGCTCCGAGGAGCTGCATTCGCTGGTTCAAGGCGTCATGAGTTCCAGCGCCCTACGAGGCTGGCATCCTGCTCTCACCCCTTCACTGTCGAAACTCCCTAAATGTAGCCCGTCTCTCTTCTACTCTAATAGCTTCATGTCTCGCACCTCTCGCCTGTGGAACTCCCTCCCTTCTCCTGTTTCCCTGTGAGCTATAATCTCCAGCTATTCAAGTGTAATGTCAATTGACATCTCCAGTTGCCTTAATCTATCCACTACCCTCATCCTTTCTTCTATCACTCCTATCTGATCTTGCTATTTTCTGTAACCCCTTGAGTCCTAGTGGCTTCCCACCTTGCTTGGGGTGAAATGCTTAAAAAAAAAAAAAAAACTGGTTGATCATGCCAAATTATTTACTTTTTACCAGAAATTGTAACTAAGGTCTGCTTAGCATAGTTGCAGTATAAAATACAGGTGGGCTCTGTGGCTGTTGGACAAACACAAATGTGCTTGAGCAGGTGTCTGTAACAGAGATAGACTAGCTGCCTTAGCAAATTTGTGTTCTCGGAAATGAGTAGCTAGCCATTATGTTTGGACCAGTCTTTATATACTACCAAATAAATTTTCAAATCTGTTTCTATATCCCCTATTATCTTTACCACATGGTAAGCAACCTTACTTATACAATCCTTATGCTGTATGGTGTTCCCAAATCCTCCCTCCGAAATGCAACAATTCTTACCTAAAAGCACTTCCCACTATTATCCAGATTCAGAAATTCAGCCAATCTAACACAGCAGACTTCACTCTGGCCACAAGCCTATACCACAGCACTCCTATCCCATTCAACTCTGGTGAGGTTGTAAAGTAGTTCACACTGACCATCACCTAGAGGTCAGAGTTTACAGGTCCACTCCCAAGACTGCTATTATCAGCACACAGCTAACTCTGCCTCCAGCTACTAGGTGTCCACTTCAACTACTACTTCTGGCCACGTCTATTAATCATGGGAGGCAGTGGTCAGACCATCCTCTGTTCTAACACTGACACAAGTGGACAGATATTTAGCCTTTTGTCACATGACCACTCCTCCAAGGACAAACTGCTTCCTTCTGTTAACGATAAAACAGCACAAAAGCTTGAATGCGAAACGTTTCCGAGGTCAGCCAAATAAAATGATTGTTTGATCCTCATGACCGTTTCCATGTAAGGCAGACCTTTAAGACCTTCCACTCTTCCCAACTTGACACTCTCTCTGTGAAAACCACTTGAGTATTTTGAGTAGTACCAATTCATTGAAGTGACAGCTAACATGTGTAGAGCTGCAGCTACCACTATCATTTTGTCAAAATGTAATGACTGACCAATGAAACTGATGATCTTATGGTGATTATAGTGAATCTAGTGAATGTTTCTTCTTGTCAATTTCAGGCACCTACCTACATACCTGCCTACTTTTTACAGTTTCAACAAGAAAGTTAAGACTTCAGAATGCACACTACCTTCCATTGGGTTTTTAAGAGACATGCAATTATTATTAAAAAGCAACGAGTAGAAAACCTGTATTTTCTGATTAATTGTAATTCTCAAGTTAATGACTAAATAAGCTCCTTGAAAGTTCCATGACTGTAAAATACCCACGGAAATTCCTCTATTTCCTCATTAAATATTTGAGCTTAACAACTTTAACAAAATTTTACAATAAGTTATAAATATGGATGCAGGTCATTATTTTTTAAAAAGTAAGAGGGTATAATTGAAAAGATTTGAAATTGACAAGCTTTTCTATTTCACTGAAGCATACATTAAACACATGAGACTGTTATCACCTCCTCTGTCTTCTCCTTTTTTCTTTCTTTCTTTCTAGAAAGTTATTAAGCATTGAGGGATTTTTTTTCTGAGTATGTGACCAGTACTAATGTGCAGAATCAAATAGTGAGGTGTTTCCTGGGATGTGTATTTTTTTTTTTTTAAATCATTTCACCCCCAAGCAAGGCAGGCAATAAAGCCACTAAGACACAATGGGTTACTGATTCTTAAAGAATATAAGATATGAAAAATTTTGAAGATCAAAGTTAACTGGGAAACAAGAATCTGAAAGAGAGTTCCACAAGTGAGAAGGGCAACAGAAGAAACTGTTTGTCTGTCTTTAATCATTCCAAGTGTTCCTATTATTATTGGAACCTGGTTGTGTTTAAAAGCCAAATTCTTGCAATTTTTATTTCTGGTTACTTATATTTTACAAGTTTTGTCAAAGATGTAAGATGCTATAAATAAAAAGATTTAAAATTGACAAGTTCTTACATTTCACTTATGCAGATGTTAAACACATGGGAGCATTATCACATTCTCAAACTTCTCTTTCTTTCTATATTTCATTCTTTTATTTACTGAAATCAAACGGTGAAAGAATATTAAATAACCCCAAATGCATATATATGTATTGCTGGCAACTCGTATTCGTATTCGTATTAGGGTGGCTAGCCAATCGCTATTGCAGACACTTGCTCAGGAGCATTTGTGTTTATTCAAAACCCACAGAGCCTACCTGTGGATTATACTGTAACTATGCTGAGCAGACCTTTGTCACAGTTTCTGGGAAAGAGCATGTTATCTAGCATTATCAACAATTTGAACAAGGCCAGCACACTCAATCTTTCAGCCACAACAGGACAAAAGATGAACAGGCTTCAAGGAAATAGAAGATGGTGATTGATATTGCATTTAAATTTTTGAAGATTGTAGTTATCAGGGAAGCAAGTAAACAGAAGGGAGTTCCACAGGCGGGAAGTGTGAGAAAAGAAACTGTTGGAGTAGAAGTGACGGTTGCATTTGGCTATTTCTACAGTAAACAGATGAGACCTACATACCAGTCTAGTAGCACGCTTAAATTCATTTGGCCTGGACACCAGGGAAAAAAAGCTTTGTCAGAACAGTTGCCATAAAAATATTTGTAGAAAAGACAGAGGGAAGCAACACCATATTGGTGAGAAAGTTACTAAAGTCAAGATGCCTGGTGAGGAACAGATCCTTCTCTGGATTTTGTCAAGAATCTTAAGATCTTCATCTATGAGGAGATTGTCCAGCATTAAGTGCCATATAGGAGGATGTATATTGCATAATAGTTGAGCGGTCTTATCTTTTTGTTTCCAATGAAATTTTCCTGTTTCTTAATATTTTGATAAGTTTCTGGAAGGCACTTTCATTGTTCCAATGTGCCTTTGGATTTCTGTGTCATATTTTCTGTCACCTACTGTGACCTTATCTAGTTTTTAAGGTTTTAAAATTAGAACACTGCATGGTGATATGAGCTTCACACCATTATTGTGTTTTTTAGTATGGTGATATTAGCCATTTCCATACAAGAAACTTTCATCATTCATTGACCAAACAGCATTACTGTCAGTTGAAATTTATAAAATCTTTCTCTTAAAACTGTTTTTCAGGAAATTAGATTTCTCAAGTTCACTCTTTTTCTAATGCTGATAGGAGTTTCCTTCCTAACCTATTGTTTAATGTAGTGTGGAATGTCAACATCTTTATGATCTCGTTATTTTCCTTTCTAGTTACATATGCTACCCATTTCAATTGTTACTGCTGTTGGAAGTCTTTAAGTGCTGCGTTTTATGTTATTTGGTAAAGCTCATTCTTTGTTGTCATTTTGTAGTGCCAGTCTATGAAATCAGATAAAGTGTTGTTTGTCTTCTTTAATATGTTGAAGATTCATTTTGCTTGAAGCCACTTTTTAATCATTAATCTGAGGAAATGGTTGTATATAT